ATGGCTGATGAAACACCCTTGGCCAGATCATCCAAAGGAGGGGCCTCGGTCAGCTGGACGTCCGCTGCGGCCTGAGAAGAGGGAGCGCCAGCCTCCCCGCTCACCGGAGCCCTCTTCGTCTTCTTTGGGGCGGGCACCACGTTCAAACCGGCCTCGGCCAAAGTCTTCTGGCCCTCATCGGCGGACCTCTTGCTCTTCTTCTTGGGAGCAGGCTTCTGGACGGCCTCACCACCTCCCTGAGAACCACCTGCAGACTTCTTTGCTGCCTCAGCAGCTTGGGCGGCCTTGAGCTCCGCGTCGGCCTTCTTAGCAGCTCGAGCCATAAAAGACATGCGATCCATGGTGAAACCTGCGCCAAACACAAGGAAAATAAGACATTAGCAAAGAACAAGTAAAATACTACGAGAAGGGTAAGAAGACGAAGGACAACCTTCGGCTTCAGCAGGGACACCAAGCGAGGGACCATCAACCCGTTCGTAAGACCCCTCCATCTTCGGCCAGAAGTCATCGTCCACATCACCAGGACAATAATACCTCACGAAGCCGAGGGCGGCCATCCTGTACTCCGTAACGTACGTTTTGACACTCCTCGGCCCCCCTTTAATGAAGGCCTCTACTTGGTTGCTTATTTCAGCACCCCATGGAGGGGAATGCAGTTGGAACATGCCATTATGACCGTTGGAAGGAAAGAAACCGCCTCGGCCCAGGTTTACAAACACGAACTTGGCTTTCCAGCCATGTATGGACGTAGGGAGATCTTTGAATGACCTCCTCCCGCTAACCTGCTGCAGGGTGGCGTAACCAGCACAGTTCTGGTGGCTTCCTCGGCCAATCCGGAAGAGATTCATGAAAAGGGCAGTCGTCGGTGAGAACCCCAACTCGTCGCACCGGATTAGGAAGCCAATGATGATAGAAAAGCTATTGGGAGTCAGCAAGGCCGGAGGAAGCTCAACCATATCCAAGTACTCCTTGATGAACGGATGCAGAGGGAACCTCAGGCCCTTGGCAAAGCTCATAGGATATACCCCGAAATAGCCTGGGGGCGGATTCAAAACATGATCCGTCGGCTTCGGTGCCCTCACCCGCCCATACGGCCCCACATACAACTGGGCAACATGATAATCGCCGAGGGACCCCTCCGGCCGGATGATATACAGGTTGCTAAGATCTAGTTGTGAATACCCCTGCGGCACCCCTTCACGCCTTTTCCGCCGATACGCTTTCTTCGCCCCATGAGCCGAGGGGCCTTCCCCCGCTACGGACGATATTGGCGGAGGGCAGGGAATGTTGGCCGAAGACGACGCCTCATCCCCCCTCAGAGGCGAGCTAGACATCGCCTCGTCTTCACCTGAATGATGGGCTCCCGCATCAGCGCTCAACCTCTCCTCGTCCACAGAGGTGCGATAGTCGGCTGTATTTTCCAATTCGATCTCGAAGGCCTCGATCAATCGCAAATCAACTCCAGCGGACGTATCGTCCTCGTCGAATGGCCAGTCCTCTTCGTCCAACGAAGCTGATAAGTCAATGGGGGAGGGAGCGCTACGTCCGTTAGAGAACGGCATAACACCTACACTTATTCCTAAGGGCGTTTTCTCGGATCAAAGTAGTTTTCCTACAAACACTGGATCTAACCCCCTAAGAAGCAAAGTATAAGGAAAAATGAAGAAACAATTACAAGAACCTAACCTTGAAGTCTTGAAGAACACTTGAACACTTGAAGATTCTGGGAAGCGCTTCTCTCTCTAGGAAATCTCAGCAGCAATTCGACTTAGGCAAATGACAAAATGAGGGAATGGCTTCGGAGTTGGGGATATTTATAGGCATCCCCCCAACGGTCACTACATGTGGCATCCTCCAATTGGCCACCTCAACGGCGCCTCCCCTAGAGCCAATCAGCGTTTGTCTTTCCACATTCCACTCTAAGGCCACCACAACGGCCCAACATGCCCAAAACTAGGGTTGGCACCGGCCTATTCACTCAAAAGCAAGGAAAAACTCGCTGCGGCCCAACTTACCAAAAGGGATGGCAGCATCATCCAAAACGCTCTACGGTCCCAAAGCGACCCTAAGAACCACAAGTACCGCTACGGCTACTCACGCGCACATCGTTTGACGATGACCCTGGTATCGCGGCCTTCGTCCAAGGGTTCTCCCACAGGGTTACCTTGGACAGGTTCGCCTAAGGGTTGGACTAACGACTAACGCATGGGGTACCGTATCGGCTCGAGAACATCATGACTCCCTTGTGCCTCGAACACTCTTCGGCCAACGGAGTGGGGGACTGGGGGATTGTATCGGCTACAGGGAAAAAGCATAAATTGGAACGCAACGGCCTCAACACACGGAGGATTTGCTACAAAAGACAAACGATTCACCTCAATAGCATTGCGGATCGCATCGGCTACAGAACCCAAAAATTTAAAACCCAAATACAAAATACAGCGCGCAACGGCTACGTACATTGGGGGACTGCGTCGGCTCACTAAAGCAAGAATACACAAGTCAAAGCGCTTCGGCCGCATGACAGATCAAAAGCGTGCGGCTCGCATCGTCCTCATAGACGAGATCAAACATCTTCGCTTCATGAAACTATGTCACCACCACGGCCAAAAGTACGTGGGACCCCTTCGGCCCCAACAAAATGGTAATAAAACAGGCCAGTTTCTCCATAATTCACATCTACTGAAAAGAGGAAACCGCTTCATCCAAAATCAAAGCAGAACCTCTTCGGCCACCAAGCACCTCGAGCTCACGCAACGGCCAGCCAGAAAGGAACAAGTACTCCCTTTCGCTTCAGCTTCGCCTCAGCTCAGAGAGTGGGGGACTCCTGATAGAGTATATGGGCCTGGACCCCATGGCCCACATACTCAAGTCAACGATGACCAGAAGAACGCCCACATGGCCCCCCTTCGGCCAGTGGGCCCGCATCGGCCGAAAGTCGGATTGACCCAGGAAGCACGCATGGGCTACCGGGGGCCGCATCGGCCCATGGACCGCATCGGCCAAAAGGCACCGCATCGGCCCGGCTTCGTCCAGGCAGAATGCATCTCCCTGTTTTATTTACTAAGTGTTGTACACAGCCCATTAGTGGCCCTATTTCGCCCAAAGAAGGCATGATTATTGTAATGGGCCTCCTAAGCCCATGGCTAGGAGCCCAAATCCACATTTTTACCTATAAATAGACCCCTTGGGGCTAGTTATAGGGGGTTGAGAAATATAATTACTCACTTTCTCTCTCTAGCTCTCACTTCTCTCTAGAATTAATACTCTATCAATTATAATAACTTTAGTACATTCTAATCACTTTCTTATTAATTAATGAAAACATAAAGACAATTTTTATAACAATGTAGCATTAGTTAAGAACAAATTTTTATAATATTTAAACTTAATTCAGACCTTTCACGCCCCTCTGAAAATTTAGAGTTTTTTTTACAAATATTATTACGTACTAAATTAAAATTAGTCACACAAATATGATTGATAGTTACTACACTATAGTGCGAGGTTACTTAATTTTAAAAATTGAACATAAGTTACTATGATTAAGTTAGTACTATAGTCACTAGTCACATTTTTGTAAATACTTTTCATTTTAATCATAAATATGTAATTATTTCAAAAGGCAAGCATGACAAATCACTTAGTTTAAAAAGTTAACAAACTCGAGTGATTCAAATGTAGTATATATTAATGTTCATTAATGTCATTATTTATTTATTTATTTATTTATTTATTTATTTATTTATTTATTTATTTAGATGTTATTTTTACAAAATAAATTATAAGATGAGGCCCCTTAAAAGTGGAGGCCCTAGGCAATTGCCTTGGGCAACTCCCACCAAAGCCGGCTCGGTTCATGACATACGTTGGCATAGCCTGAATGACATTCCTCAACAGAACTTCTTGCCCCGCCCGAGATAAAAATCGGTTATTCCAACTTTTTATTGTATTAAAAATACGGTCCTTCAAATACCCCAGTATGACGAACTTATTCCTCCCTATCAGCACCGGTAATCCCAGGTAAAGACTCTTATCACTCTCTCTCAGGATACCCAGCTGATTGCTACAGAAGTCTTTGAACCCCTCCCCCACATTCTGGCTGAAAGCTAAAGTGGATTTATTAAAATTAACCATCTGACCTGATAGCTCTTCGTATTTTAAAAGAATATTCTTGACTGCTGCACACTCGCTGTTTGAGGCTTTAAAAAACAAGAAACTGTCATCTGCAAAAAACAGGTGCGAGACCCGAGGGGCACCGCGGCAGACAGACACCCCATGAAGTCCCTCCTTACTTTCAGCCTTCCTTAGCATAGCACTTAACCCCTTCGCTGCCAGGATAAAAAGATATGGTGACAACGGGTCCCCCTGCCTCAGCCCTCTCTTTGGAATAATCGGTCCCAAGAACTCTTTATCAAACTGAATATAGTAAGTTACCGTAGTAACACAAAGCATAATTATCTCCACCCCATCTCTCGCTAAAGCTCATTCGTCCCATAAATTACTGAAGCTAAAGCCCATTCGGCCCATAAATTGTTAAAAATTAAGAGCCCGTTTAGTAACACTAAAATTGGCTGTATTGACTGATTCTGCTGAAATTTATGAAGTTCTGGCTGAAGTGGCTCTATTGGCTGATTCTGCTGATTCATGAAAAAATTATATTTAAAATATTTTTTATTCATAAATAAAAAAAATTATATGAAAAAATAGTTAAAATGATCCTTTACAGTGACTTCAGCCAATACAACCAGAAAAATAACTTCAACCTTACTTTTTCTGCTTATTACACAATTCAGCGCGCGAAATCAAAAATTACGTATTTGGTGAAAAAGTTGACTTTTAAGTCTGGTAAGCCGAAAAATGGGTCACCAAAGAGGCTCTAAATTACTTATTAATAAAAAAGATTTAACTTTAAAATTTATTTATGGAAAAATGTTGACTTCCCAAAATTTTGAACGGAGTAATACTATTTAAATAAAATGAGACAAATTTAATTGTTTAGTTGATTGAAAAGGAAAAGGAAGAGAAACACAAAGGAAAATATGGTTTGTCGGAAGACCCAATCAGTCGCCCCTTTTCCCAGTCTCCCGACACTCCTTTCATTTTCGCAATGTTTTAAGCCCACCAAATAACTCCAACTACACCCGCCTCACTTCCTCCGCCCGACGCCTACGCCGCCTCCCATACCGCCGTTAATGCCGGAAAGATCTCCCCTTTCCTCTGGCTCGAGCTGTCCATCAGAGCTCTCACTCTCTTTGTTCGTCTCTGCTTGATAAAAGCTGCTTTACATCTGGCTTGGTTCTTGGCCATTTTTGGCAAGTTCCCACATATCAGTAATTTCATCTTATTCAGTATATATGTTTCTTCTATTGGTGTTTTTAGTACTTCATTAAATGCTAATTTGATTCGAATCCTGATGCATTTTAAAGAACATTTATTGGTAAGAATAAAGAAGTTTCCTTTAGGACAACGCTACCTTCCAAGAGCAATTTTTATTACCTTTTTAATATTTTAGATTTTAGATTCAGTGTAGTTCTCTGAACCAGCTAAGTTTTTAGTGCGATTTTTGTTATTCTGAAATTGTGGATCAGTTATAAAGGTTAAACCTTTCTCTATAGAATGCATCCATGATGATTTTGGTCACTAAGAGACCATTGGATTGATGCACCGGCTGATATAATTGCTGGGTTGCTGATTTTATGGACAAAATGGGTGAAGTATCTGAAAATGTCTTAAAATGGTACTATCAATAATTTGAAGTGCGGAATAATATCAAGAAATAATTACATAATTATGACCAAAATAAAGATGGTTTACAAAAATATGATTCATTACTAGAGTAGTAATGAAATCATAGTAATTCATGTTCAAGTTTTGAACTTTAGTTACCACATCACTACGTTGTAGTAATGAATAGTCATATTTATGTAAATAAGTTGGGAAAACTGTCAAATAGGTCCTCGAACTTTCATAAAAAGGTCAATTAAGTCCTTCTATAGGAGGTTCTGTCCGGCCGTCGCGATTTAGGGCAGTTCCCGGTGAAATTTTTTAATGAAATTTTTTGAGCATTTTATTCACCAAGTCTAGTTTACTCGTACCGAATTTCAGCTAAAAATTCAATCGGGAACACATTGAAATTAATTCTTGAAGATAACTGCGCATTTTTGCGTTCTCGAATTAATTTGAATGTGATCCCGATTAAATTTTTAGCTGAAATTCGGTATGAGTAAACTAGACTTGATGAATAAGATGCTCAAAAAATTTCATCAAAAAATTTCACCGGGAACTGCCCCAAATCGTGACGACCAGACAGAGTGTCCTATAGAAGGACTTAATTGACTTTTTTATGAAAGTTCGAGGACCTATTTGACAGTTTTCCCAAATAAGTTTTATTTTAGTAATATTCTCGTAAAAAACCCTAATATCAAAGCCACTTATTTTCATTTCAGTCATTTCAGTAAAACAGAGTAACTTCTTCGCAATCATTTATTATTGGGAAAGTTCCCGAAATAGGACTAAAACAGTTTGAAAATTCCAAAATAGGACTGACAAGTTTTTTATTCCCAAAATAGGAGTAATTACTGCCATGTTTGGAAAATACTGCCATGTTAGAAGTCTGGTACTGCCAAAACATGACAGTAATTAGTCCTATTTTAGGAATAAAAACATGGCAGTCCTATTTTGGAATTTTCAAACCTTTGTAGTCCTATTTCGGGTAATATCTCTTTATTATTATGAGTGTGTTTCAGCTAATGAGCTCAATTAGCTTAGTTTATGTTAGCAAATAAAGCAAATGTGTGGAAAGGACTCGCTCAGTGAATGAGCTGTAGTTCAGCAACTTATTTCCTTTTCTGTGTGGTCAAAATGTATTACTATTTTTGCACACTTGTAGTTTGGGTTTGAGTTCCTTATGTTTAAGGGCCTTTTTGCTAAAGTCTTATGTGGTTAAAATGATAGAATTTTTTAAAAGTGTTTGGTGACATTCATTTCAGTTAAAAACTACGTCATTTGCTTATTCCGCTAATGAGTATAATAAGCCAGAACTAGCTACCAAACCGAGTAAAATATCCATACATATGTATAGTGAACTAGTGATGTTCAGTGTGATTGTATCCGTAATGGTAATTTTATCTTGTCATCTTGTGATATACCAGAATTGCTGTGAGTTGGACCTAAAGAAAAAAGGCACATACATATGGATAATCATCATAGCACTAAAGAAAATGGAGGGATGAAGAAAGTCAGTTCCCATTGTTCAATCTCAGAGATAGATGACTTCGATCTATCAAAGCTTCTTGACAAGCCAAGGCTGAACATAGAGAGGCAGAGATCCTTTGATGAGAGATCACTTAGTGAGTTGTCCATTGGACTTCCAAGAGGACACCTAGACAATAATTATGAAAACTACTCTTCTCCAGGCAGGTCCGTACTGGACACACCTGCTTCGTCAGCCCGAAACTCTTTTGAACCTCACCCGATGGTGGCCGAGGCATGGGATGCCCTACGCCGGTCATTAGTCCATTTTAGAGGTCACCCAGTTGGCACCATTGCTGCCAATGATCATGCTGGAGAAGAGGTCCTAAATTATGATCAGGTCAGTTAGTTGTTATTCATTGTTGTTATATAATCTATGTAGTATATAATAGAATTGTCTCCATTGTTTTGATTTTGAAAACATCTACCTCCATTTAGTATTTTGTAAACTAAAAATAAGCTTCTTGAATTGCCTGATTTCTCACACGCATCAGCAGACTATCCTTATTATATATATCTTGAAGATCCTTTTTGGAAGGGAACTTTATTTTTTTGGCTAACAAGAAGCATTAAAAACACCAAAGTTGATCTAAAACGCACTATTCTTCCCAATATCAACATATTCTATAATCTAGCAGTGTAAAAACTGTAGTATGCAATTCTTTTGTTTATGTTCAAGGCCTTATTTGTATGTTTTCAGAAACCTAGAGTTTCTTTTGATAGTTTGACTAATCCTCCAGAGAGGTAAATGTAATTAATTCTTCCATATGTTACCAACTTACCATGCATAATAGTTCTCATACTGTTTACTATGATTTTTTTTTTAAATTATACAAATATATTTATTATTATATGTGAGATGCTGGTCAAAAGTCTGAAACTGTAACTTGGACCATGATGTGTAAGTAGAAAGCATATAAATAAAAAAGCATATTAATATTTGCTTATTTTAGAGAACACTTTTTGACTGTGCTTCTAATCTATTACTCCCTCCGTCCCGCTAAGATTGTCTCATCTTTCATCTTTCCTTTTCGGTCTGTCCCAAACTCCCACTGAGATTGTCTCATACCAAATTTTGTAAAGTTTGTGTGGTTCTAAATCTCTGTTACTTTGTTCTTACTTTATCATTTCAATACCAACCACATAAACCCACTTTTCTTAATAACTGCATCACCTCCTCATGTCCCAATGTTAGTGGGACGGAGGTAGTTAAGTATATGTTTCACGATAAATGTCAACATCCTTGATTGAAATGAGACTTGACCACAGGGTGACAAGGTACTTGACTATAGTAGAGAACACTTGGTTTTCAATATTTTTATTTTTAATTACTTTTATGTTAATTTTCAACGAAAGTTCATTCATGAGTTATACTACGTATAGAGATATGAATGTAATAAAAAAATAACAAAGGATTGAAGTTCATGAGAGCTTTTAAGTAAAGGCTCAATAGTTTCAATCTTTCATGTCCTAAACCGACAGTTTTAATCTTTCAGATCCTGAATAAAAAGTAAAGAGTATAAGTATTATTATGAAACTGCTTAATCAGTATTAGCATTTGAAAGACTTCTTCTAATTGTTTTATGTAGGTTTTCGTTCGTGATTTTGTACCTAGTGCCCTGGCCTTCCTAATGAATGGTGAACCTGAAATAGTAAAAAACTTCCTTTTGAAAACACTTCTACTTCAAGGTTGGGAAAAGAAAGTTGATAGATTCAAACTTGGGGAAGGTGTTATGCCAGCTAGTTTCAAAGTCCTTCATGATCCGGCACGCAAGACCGACACAATAATAGCAGATTTTGGGGAAGCAGCCATTGGAAGAGTAGCCCCGGTAGATTCTGGATTCTGGTGGATTATTCTTCTTCGTGCATATACAAAATCTACAGGAGACTTAAGTCTGTCTGAAACGCCAGAATGCCAAAAGGGTATGAGGCTAATATTGTCATTGTGTTTGTCGGAGGGGTTTGATACGTTCCCCACTTTGCTATGTGCTGATGGATGCTCAATGATAGATAGAAGAATGGTGAGTTAATAATTTATTCTTATTTTAATGGAAGATCAAACAATAGGTTTTATGGTATCTCAGCTATACACTTACATAATTTGCTCATTCACTAAACAATCTGAACTTAATTTAGTCGTCATACATGTTTGTTCAATCTATGCGGTATTGGCGTTCTTTCACGAAAGTTTCAGTGCATGTCGGACGTAAATAACTCCTTAATTAGATAAAAAAAAATGCACAAGGGCTAAAATTTGAGGACCAAATTGAGTAATATGTATAAACACATGACTAAATTGGGGATTAGCTGTTTTATTAGAGCTCAATACCCACTGGCCAAGGCAGACGCCAAGCCAACAAATCATGATTATCACTGGCATGAATTGCTTATTAATCATGTTAAAGTTTCATGGTTCCTGTCCATTTGGTTGTTCGTTGTTGTGTTATGCTCTTATCAGTCAGGTTTGATACCAAACACTAACATATTTTACTGCATTAGCAGTATCGGTTTATGATAAGAAAAAGTTGCGCATTATATATCTTTATTTTGTCAAAGTGTTTGAAATGAAGATAACTGACAGTTCTGTCCTCACATTTAGATTTTATTTCATTTATTTTGTACAAACATATATTAAATACAGACTACATTTTTAACAAACACAAGTGATTCACCAATTTCAGATGCAATTTCAGAAAATTCAATGGCTAAAGTCAGTTCAGCCAATTTTTTTACCTCACAAAATGGCCTAAAAAACTTTGGATTATCAATGCTTTTGGGTTTCAACTTTCTTTCACATGACTCCTTTTTCACTTCCATAATTTCAGGGAATTTACGGTTATCCCATTGAAATCCAAGCCCTCTTCTTCATGGCACTGAGGTGTGCATTGGCAATGTTAAAGCCAGACGGAGAAGGGAAAGAGTTCATCGAGAGAATTGTGAAACGCCTGCATGCGTTGAGTTACCACATGAGAAGTTACTTCTGGCTCGACTTCAAACAACTAAATGACATTTACCGCTACAAAACAGAAGAATATTCCCACACGGCGGTAAACAAGTTTAATGTCATCCCCGACTCAATCCCTGATTGGGTGTTCGACTTCATGCCGACACGTGGTGGTTACTTCATCGGTAATGTTAGTCCAGCGAGGATGGATTTCAGGTGGTTTGCTTTGGGCAATTGTGTTGCCATCTTGTCTTCTCTTGCCACTCCCGAGCAAGCTTCTGCAATTATGGATCTAATAGAAGCGAGGTGGGAGGAAATGGTTGGGGAAATGCCTTTGAAGATATGTTATCCGGCATTGGAAACTCATGAATGGAGAATCATAACGGGCTGTGATCCAAAAAATACCAGATGGAGTTACCACAATGGTGGATCATGGCCAGGTTCTCTCTTTCTGCCTCTTCAAGATTTTCTTGGTCATTGTCTAATTCCATGCAAGTGGAGAAAATATGTGTTGATGACGATTTTGGATTTTTGTGCGTGTGTTCCTTATAAAAAATATTTCTTTTCCACATGCACTTTTGTTGTAAAAGTTATCTTAACTACTACATAGGTGCCGCTAGCATAGCACAGAGATTGAATTTGGCCTCATTTAGGGGCTTCTTTCTTCAAGACCCCTTAGGGTGTGTTTGGGAGTTGGGTTTTGGAGGGGAGGGGAAGATTGATGGGATTTATGACCCTCCTTTTCATGTTTGGAAGTTTATAAAATTGGATGGGATGGGTTTGGACTTTGGAGGGCTTTTGTGACCCTCCAAAACCCCCTAAATGCCCAATTTTTTAGTTCCCCCAATTTGGAGGGTTTTGAAGGATAATTAACGAAATGGTAATTTAAGCTCAATTAAAAATAAATATCAGTTCAATTATTTGAATTCGTCATATCTCAAAGTGATTTTAATTATAATTTATTCAAAAACTCTCTTCCAAATTTATTACTCCCAAATACAAAGAAGGGTTTCCTCACCCTCCCCTCCCTTTCCCCTCCAACAATATACCTCCAAAACCTTCCTCTCTCCTTCCAATTTTTCCTTTTATGTTTTCACATCTTAACTTATTTGCACAACTTTTTATGAAGGTTACCCCCATTCAAAGGGTATTAGAGGCAAATTGGCCAAATATAACTTGTTTTCTTAATATCCGTGCAAAAAGCAAGTCATAAATATTACATTCAAAATGCCTCTATGTTGACTTGTCAACTAGTGCTGTAAAATGCGCCAGGTGACATGCAGGGTCAGACAAAACATTGGTGGACAAGTTTTTTTTAAATGAGGCGCTAGGTTTGCCCTGACTATTAAGGCTTGTAATTCCATTCATAAAAAACAACCTTGTATGATGAGTAGCCCAAGGTTGTCATATGTGTTTGTTATGTAGTACGATAGTATTATACTTTTATAGGATTGATGCTTTATGACTCATTCCCACATTCATGAATGCAGTGCTCCTGTGGTTGCTAACGGCAGCATGCATCAAGACAGGACGGCCACAAATTGCAAGACGAGCCATTGACCTTGCCGAAACCAGGCTATTGAAGGATGGCTGGCCAGAGTATTATGATGGAAAACTAGGAAGGTGCATTGGAAAACAAGCCAGGAAGCATCAGACGTGGTCCATCGGTGGATATCTAGTAGCAAAGATGCTGCTGGAGGATCCTTCTCACTTGGGGATGATCTCTTTGGAAGAGGACAGGCAAATGAAGCCTGTAATCAAGAGGTCATCCTCTTGGACTTGCTGATATAGATTTATATGTAAGCATGTGCCAACAAAACAAAATATGTTGTAGGGACAAAGAGGGATCCAGAACAGACAAATGAGGTGTGAACCTTTGTGTTTCTTGAAAAGTCTAATGTTTGTAAATGAAGAATTGTATGCTGCTCAAATAAGAACCATGTTCTGCTTTCAATAGTTTGGTTTTTTCTACTTGGTTCTATATTTTGTACTCCGTATATTTTAAAGTTTGCTACATTTTGCTTTTTGTGATGCATTTAAAAGTTTGCTACACTTTCTTTTTATAATTTTCCCTTTAAAAATACTCAATTACCTTTATTGATTTTTGTTTTTTTATCTTCTTTTTGATACTTTTACACCACTTTTCCTACAATGCTCTTTACCCATTCAACTTTCTTTCTTAAATAATGTGTGCCAAAGTCATACTCCGTCTGTAGCAATCTTTGAAAAAAAAATCTTTAAAATAAGGAGGGAGTACCTTTGTTTCTATAAATCTAGGTATCTAAATTTTAGGTGAAATTGAAGTCCATCTTATTTTCTTATTAAGGAGAATTAACATTTTTCATCATTTAGTTTTTACTTTAAAAGGAAGTGATAATTTTTTGAACAACTAAATACGGAAAGAATAAGGGATCATTAGTATAATCTTATCTCTTGTATTTATCCCATGAAATTAACAATAACTATTTATTTTGTTAATGGTATCCCTTACCTAATTCTATCCCAATGATTCCAAAATAAACTTTACGCCTTGTAATGAATCTATACTTTTGCAATGGTGACATTTGATATTAGAATACAATAAGAATTTAGGATACAATACTTTTCCAATTTTGACATATGTTAAAAGAATATGCTCCCGCCTTTATATTAAATTAAACATTGGTCAATCTTTCTAGGACGCACGTAGTATGTATCAAAACCCACATAAAATCTTCTACCTATAAGTTTGACAAGGGGTGCAATGCAGCGATCAACACTTTGATGTCAGCCAAGTCTAGACTTCGATGAAGATAGATAGCTCTTACTTACGGAGTATGTTTTATGAATCCTTTGTATTTCCCTGCTACATCTGGGTTTCTCATGAACGTAAACAACTTTAATACTATGACAGAAAGTAAGCAATCATCCTGACACTACTTAGTAAAATATCATGACCAAAAGTAAGGCAATCCTACTAGGATCTTCATTATGGCACTCCGAAATCCAAACCCCAACTACTCCAGGTTGCCATTCTCACAAACATTTTGCAGAAAAGAATTTTTTAGATTTTTTGAAAGTGCAAACACACTCACAATAAGACCGAGGGATCTATGTTAGGGCTATGGTGGGTTGAAGCCCAGGGCGAAGCAAAAAAAAATAACTTTTTTAAGGTATTATTTTGACATAATTCCATCTAGCCCACCCCGAGTTTTTGTATAGCCCAGTCCAATTTTTCAGCCTAGTCTATAAAACAAAATTTTACCATATAAAAATCTAATATAAATGTTATACACATCACCTCCCACTTAATAAGTGGCACTTAATTTATACGTATAATGGCCATAAAGCCCACAAAGCATCAATGTAATAAATACAATAAAATATAATTCAATTAAGAACTTGATTAGCATGTTCACATGAACTTGTAAAGTTTTTCATGTTGATTAGCATGTAAAGAACTTGATTAGAGTTCTTGGGCAAAAGTTTGTAGTGTATATAGACATTTTTCATGTTTTGAATTTGTGTTCGATTTACTTTAGTTTGTAGTGTGTATAGACATTTTTCATGCTTGGGACAAAATTTCTATGAAGGACGGACATGTGTACACATTTTGTGTACACATTTTGTGCACACCTAGATGAAAATGTTTTCTTGAAGAAGTAAATGAGTTTTTCTCAAAAAATAAATCTATGCACCGGACTTGAATTCTAATTTCTAAAAATATGGTTGGTCATTGCTGAAAAGAAACTACAATTGAGAATCATTATTACTTTGATGTTTTCAATGAGGTAATATACTTTTATTCATGGAGTTAACGACCCGGTTTAATGATAAATCAGTGGAACTCCTTTCTTTGAGTGTTTCATTTGATCCAAAAAAATCATATGAGTCGTTCACTGTCGATGCTATTTGTACTCTGTAAGAAAGTTTTATCCCGAAGATTTTAGTAGTCAGGACATTCGTGCTTTGAAATTCGAGCTGCAACACTATGTTCATGATGTGATTCATGATATCAAGTTTCAAGTATCTACACTTGTTGAATTATGTGAGGAATTAACTAAAAGCAAAAGGTGTGATTCATATGTTAAGATGACTAGATTGATTCACTTCGTATTGGTCTTATTGTTTCTACTGCAACAGTAGATAGAATGATCAGTTTCTGTCGTGAAACTTCTAAAGGCAACACTCTGCAATAAAATGGATGATAGTTTTCTTGCTGATTGTAGGGGTGGACTCGGGCCGGGCCAACCGGACCGGAACCGGACCGGCCCGGTCAACCGGTTGGTCAACCGGTTCGGGCCACCCGGCCCGGAGGGATACCGGTTCGGGCTCGGGCCCTGATTTTGGCGAACCGGCCCGGCCGGTTCGGGCCCGGTCCGGGCCGGATTTTAATTTTTTTTTTTTTTTTTTTTGAAATTTTTTTAAATTTTGGGTTGGATTAGATATTTTGGGCCATTTGAGGTGGTTTGGGGTAGTTTGGGGTTGAGGGGGAGGGGTAGGGGGTTAAAAATGAGAACAAAAAAAAAAAAAAATTAAGTTGGGCGGTTCGGCCCGGCCCGGCCCGGCCCGGTTTGGCCCGGAACCGGAACCGGAACCGCCCCCTGGCGGTTCGGGCCCGGGCCCTATATTTCTGGCCCGAGGCCCGGCCGGGCCCAGGCCCGAACCGGGCCCGAACCGGCCCGAGTCCACCCCTAGCTGATTGCATGACACTTTACATTGAAAAAGATATTACTCTCAGTATAGATGTAGACTCTATTGTTGATGAGTTTTTTGTTTCAAAGCCTTGTCTAGAACAAATTTAGGGGATAACTTTTATATTTGATTTTTCACTTATTTTGAAAAAAAATCAATGTATTATCAATTAAAATTTTCAGCCCAGCCCAACATTAAATCCTGGATCCGCCCGTGATAAGACCTACGTTTGTTTGATTTATGAAATTATAATTAGTAGGGACATGAAACCCTGATTTAATTTTCAGCACATTTTAATTCAAAGTCGTGCACATTGCATTGTTTGTTGTTCCTTCTTGGAAAAAATCCTAGAAATGGTTCACTGGTACGATTTATTTCCTTTCTTATATTAATATTAAATATGGGTTATTCCTGAAAATATCAAATATAATGGGTCTCTCCAAAGTTTACGCAACCTTCATAAACCAATTTACCAGATCATTGGTGCCAGGTGTCACAATTAATTGGCATCTTTATTCATTTTACTTCTTCCCTTTTCTTTTCTTTTGTTATTTTCATTTGCTCTGAAATCCTCGTTCTAATTCTATTTGCAAGAAATAGAACTCAAGAATAGGAGGCTAGGGGAGGGGTGTGGATCAAGATGAATCTGAAGCAAGCTATGATAGAGCAGGGGGCTGTATGGGAGAGAATGGTCCGAGACCCAGGAGGGACGGACTTTAGCGGTTTAGCCCACCTTCGTGGGTTGGTTGTGGGTTGGAGTTTTAGTTTTTACTTGATATAAATTTTACGTTATGTTTTCTAGTTCGGGCAGGTTATTAGTAGAGTTAATTTGGGCCTAATTAGGGTTTACTTAATTTGGGATCAGTTACGATTTCTGTTCGGTCTGTTACTAGAAGGGTATTTTTATCCCTTGTTAGGATCATTCTGGCTCATCACTTAATAAAATTGGATTTCAACGTATGGGCTCTGGGCAACGGTTTTTACCATTAATTATTCTAGTCAACAGTTTATTCCGTTGATTTTTATTTTATGTTCTCATCAGGCTAGCTTCCACAAACTCCTTACCTTTTCAAAGTAAGATGAGGGATTGAAGTTGGGTTTAGTTTCAACTTACCGAAGCAAAAGTCCTGACAAATAAGGTCAGACAACATCCTGATAGATTCATTCCTCTAGAATGGTTGAATCCCCAACCTCAAGGCCCCTGGCCCTGACCCAACGACAAAGCATAAGAGAAGGTTAACAATTACTCTCTCTGTCCTGGATAGAACTTGACGTTTGCTTTTGACATGGTATTTAAGAAGTTCAATTAATAGAAGAAAAATGTCTTGCATGCCCTTTGCCTTTTGGGGGGAATTATTTTTATCCACTCAAATGTAAAACGTGGGTGGATAATGAAGAGTAGTTAGGACATTTGATGTATAAGGAATTGCCCTAAAAGAAAACGTAAAGGAGTAAATAGGACGTCCCAAAAAGAAAAATATAAAGATTTAAATGGAACGGAGGGAGTATCATGAAGTACGTATTATGCTGAATTTGCCTATATTTAAGATTAGTTATTATTCTTATGAGTTTCCCGTTTCTTTTTTATTAGAGCATCTACATTCATGATCTGTAATAATCGATTTTTTCTATGATTCTTACCATTTAAATATTGTTATGCAATTAATTTTTAAATTATCTCAAAATTCGTTTATGTCTCTCAATCATCATCTTCAAATAATCTGTTTTTCCTCTGTCCTGCATTAACCTCTATTACATATATTTTTCCAATAATCTTAAAATAATCCCGATTCATATTTTGATCCCAGATTATCGTAGCAAATAATCTCATTAAATAAATCATGTCACTCAATGATGTTTCTCTAAAAAAACTGGCATGTCATCATTTTAATCTCATAATAATCCTATCAATGAGGATGCCCTTAGGTTGACTTCTAAGAGAAGTCATACACAATCAAGCAACAATGTTAATGAAAACGGTCAAACATTAATCAGATAGAAACCGTAAAACGCTGCAAACTTTACTTAAACAAAAATTGTTAACAACAATAAGGATGGACAGATCCTGATTATAGGAATGGGACAGAAAAAGATGAAGTGGGGCGGAATACACGTGATGGCCTTTAAAGTTTGAAGGGTAAAGTGTAGGCATGGCCTCGGGCCGGTTCGAGCCTGGGCCCGGCCGGTTCACGGTTCAGGATATGGGAGGCCCGGAACCGGCCCGGGTAACCCCCGGGTCAGGTTCGGGCCGGGCCTCGGTCCAATCTAATTTTTTTTTTTTGGCTTCTCCTAGTTAACTCCCAACCTCCCCCCTCACCCCCAAACCACCTAAAATGGCCCAAATAACCCAGCCCAACCCAAAAACTTAA